GGTTATCGTATCCTGCAACTGATTGCCGAACAAGTGACGGTAGGATGTCGTGATGTAATGATGCTCGAACGATCGCCAACCGGCTTTTTGGGCGGGAGAAAGAACCCACGTCGTCAGGTTTTATAGTTAGATATCTGCAAAAACAGGCCGATTTCGTCGAATGCGCTCTCGTCTTCGTCGGTTGACCTGCATTCGCCGCTTGGCTGACGTAAAGGAGCGTAAAAGTGCGGTAAAAGTACAGCGGTCTCCGATATTACTGGAGCGGGTGCGTGTGCGTACGCGCAATTTTGCGAATTCCTTTGCGAAAATATGCCGTATTTCATAACTGGACGCAATCGATTCTGCAATTCGCGAAGCACACCCGCAATAGTCGAGCAATCGAGTTTGAATTTCGGACCCAGGTACGCGAACAACCACGTGCAATACAAAAGAAATCAACAGTATGTCCGTAAGATAATTAAATTGGTAACATAATTGAATCGGATAAATGAAAAAGATCTTTATATCCATCGTCGCGCATGACTTACCATCTGACGTAGAAAACAGTGCAATGCATTTCACGCGGCACTTTTACGATATCAATATGATTTGTTAAGAATTAGAATCTCGTTTTTCATGCAGTTACACAAGATTGGTTTTACGCAGATGAATTTACGTGGTATTTTACTTTCAAAAACTAATTTCACAGACTCTTTTTAAATCTGTAATATTATTTACTTTTTCTTTAATATTAAATCTGTTATTATGCAGTTTCTTGATATAATAAAATTTATCATCTATTTTATATGAAATAATAAAATGTTGTAGATATTTATAAAAAAAAATTATATTATTTGTGATTTTCAATATTTCAAGAAAAGTATTTAAACTTGTCATAAAATATTATGATTAGTTCGGACGAATATTAAATGTGCCTTTGCGAAATCAAAATGTAAGCGATTTATTTTTATATGCGCATAAAAATATACTAATTTATATTTGAAATTTTTTTACTTGTTCCATTATTTTTATTTCTTGTTTTTTTATAATTGCCAATGTTATATATAATAGACGTACGCAGTTTTATGCGAGTACAAAATTTGGTATATTGCTGAAATACGCAATGACTCATATGCAATTTCTATTTATCATCGAGACATTAAAATGAATCAGCAAGGTGTTGCGCCACGGTGTGATTGCCTAATTAGGTAATAAAATGCAATGATACTATCTAGCACAATGTTAACGTGCTTTCTTATTCTTGAAACTTCATAAAATCTAATTCAGTATCTAACCGTGTAATTAGCATGCCGAAAAATACTAATTAACTTAGCTCTACTATTGATGAATGGAATTGTATTTCCTCTTATTAATTTTTTTCTACCAATTTATCTTTACTTTCCTCTTTCGTGATACTATCCGTATTAAAAACATCACAAAGTTGATTATGAATAAGAATCGGTAATTATTTTTCGCGAAACTTATTAAAACAAAAAA